CTACTTTACTCCCTTCCAACCCTTCAAATCTCTCGGGCTTAAATTTCGTGGGCTCTTCCCAATTCTTCGGGTCATTGTGAATGGCCCATGCATTCACCAATAACATGGTGCCACTTGGTATATTATACCCTCCCACCACACAATCTTTTGCTGACTCATGTGGCACTAACAGCGGACCAACTGGTTTGATTCTCATGGTCTCGTTAATGATGCAATGTAAGTAAGGAAGATTGGCTAAATCTGATTCTTCCAACAGCCGATCATGTCCAACCACTTTATCCATTTCAGATTGTGCCTTTTTTAATACTTCTGGATGGTTCAGAAGCAAAGACATTGCCCATTCCAATGTTGCTGCTGAAGTATCAGTTCCTGCATTAAGTAGAACCTGGAAAATTTCAAGAACCCAGATTAGAACAATGTTTAATGAAATTAAAAAAACAGGGGAAACAGAGTTACTTAAGAACCTTACCATCATCAGACTTCTAATGGTCTCATCTTTGTAGGTTTCAGGTTCTTGTTCTTGCAATGACAACAAGACTTCCATCATTGTCTTTTTCTTTTCTGTAACTAGAGATCTTTTCCCATCATTCATTCTGCTCCTCCATTCTTCTACCAACTCTTGCATAAATTCTTCCCTTCTTTGATGTAAATTAATCAACTTTTTCTCCGTCTTTTTGAAAATCTTCAACAGAGGCATGAAATCTCCCATATTTGTTCCCGCCAAAAGAAATGTCTCCCTCATTATTTGACGAAACCTCTTCGCTTGCTCGATTTCTCCCATATTGTCACCGTAATATCTCTTCCCAGCTATCATCCGCATCATCACGTTCAGCATCAGCTCGAACAGCGCGGATTTCATATCCACCGTGCGATCCCGGCTATCAAACAGCTTGCGGAGGAGCAAGCGGACCTCATCAAGGCGCGTGGCGTAGAGCAGCTGGAGACAGTTGGTTGAGAGGAGTTGAAGAGACGATATCCGCCGTAGGTTCCGCCAGTTGTCACCATAGGGAGACCAGACTAGGCTGGTGTAGTTGTTGCCCAAATGCTTCCCGAACAGAAGGAAAGGGCGGTTGGCGAATGCGATGTCGTTTTGGGTGAAGCATTCCTCGGCCGCAGACGGAGACGAGACGACGAGAACAGGGCGGGAGCCGAAATTAAGGAGAAGAACAGGGCCATGCTTGGTGGAGATGTTGGCCAGGGAATGGTGGAGGGGTTTCTTGAGAAGGTGGAGATGGCCGATTATGGGTAAACTGGGGAAAGGGGATGGAGGATTGTTTCGAAACTTGCGAAGAAAATGGGTGGTTATTGAATAAAAGGCTACAAAGAGGAGAATTTGTAGGAACATTGTGAATATTAACTTTGAAATGTTTTTTGATGGATATTTCTGGTTCTGAAAGTTTATGTATTTATTGGTTGGGAAGTGGGAAGTGAACTTATTTCCTATATGAAAGGATATATTTTGGTTGCTATTTCTTGAAGAACAGAGCAGAGTGGAAGACTAAAAAAAGATCAAAGTCTTACGCAAATTTGTCAAATGAAGTTTACTTTTCGGTTTGACAAATGGGAAAAATCTTGGAGTGGAGTAGGAAAGAAAGTCCAACTGTCCAAGCAATAAAATAACATCAAAAGTCCTTTTAATGTGGACAGTTGGAAAATTTATGAGTGATTATTATTCCCCTTCTAGATTTTCAACAGAAGAAAATTCCAAGTAGCTAGCATTAGCAACGAGATAAGATCATAGGAGAGTTTTTTCTTGCCTCTTTAAGCATTTCCATTCCACTAAGATTCCAGAATCCTGTGATGGAAATTCCATCTATAAAAAAGACAAAAATGGAAATGTCTTGAAGACGGTCTTGCAATTATTTGATTTATTTACATTGCTTGTATACTATTCCAACAGGGTGATTACGTTTAAGATCAATACATTATTTCTTCTTGGTAAAGTTTGACATCAACTGCGCTGCAGCTTTAATATAAATATCTTTTTTGTTTTTCTTCTTAGAAAATACAGTCACACACTCAAACATAACTATAACCAGAAAATTGATGGGGTTGATGTAAATAGCTAGGCAGAGGTTTTCTAGTTTTATGGGAATTCTTGAGTGATTTCCGTCATGTAAAAGGCTAAACTCCAATAATATCCCTATCATATTGTATCATCATTCAATAACTGAAATAATTGGAGATTTAAGCCTTGTGGGGATAGGGTTGTTATTAGTCTTAGTCTCACTAAATCATACATTTGACAAACTAGGTAGAAACAAACAAGCTTCTACATTCTAATCCGAAATGGGAAATCGTGTGTCATTCACAGCCTTCATTGCCTTGCAGTTAAGGGAACAGGCTTTTCATTTTTGGTTTCAAGCATTTTGGTTAGGAGAATCATGCATGTTTTATTAATGCTCATTCTATTTAGTACTTTCTCAGTTCATGGAAGTGATCCTTGATCTTTACTCCCCCCAAAATGCTTTGATATTGCTCAATTAGCCAAGTTATTAGAGCACTAGAACCTGTAAAACTTAGAGGCTGGCCTTTATTTAGATATATGAAGGTTGTTTCATTATATTATAGCCTGGAAATGTTTCTTCATATGCAAAGGCAGAACCTGTAGACTATAGGCCTAATGGCCAATATCAGAGTTTTTTCGAGTTCACATGATTATGTGATTAACGAGCTTCTAAGTGAATAAAAAAATGAAAGCAAATGCTAATCTTTCACAGTTTCACTTAGTTCAGCGGGGTAATTAGATTGCGAATCTAGTCTTAACCCTTAATCATCATGAGCTTAGGAACTAATGCAGTTTATTTTCCACGCGAATTGTACAGGCCGTAAGCACTTAAAAAGAACAAATTTTATGCATCCCAATACAACTTGATGTGCATTTTAGAAACTTCATTACTCGAAATCATCGCAGCATAAATAGTATATCAACATACGTAAGCAAGCTCAAGACATTAGTGAATTATATTAATAGTCTCAAGTCACTAGAGAGACAGTACGAAACCTGTAGACCTGCTTTTCATGAATTTTATACTCTATACAACCTGTTTATATAGTAGCCGCATAATCTTGAGACCTTCAACAATTGTACTACTGCTGGTTTAATCTATATTCCCGGTGACTTCTGCTATATATATAAAAGCCTAATTTGCTGGTTTAAGTGGTTATGAAGTTTTTCATTTTTTTTTTAAAGATATAGGTTAAGGCATGTCAAGGGACCACTTTTGCATTTTGGTATCGAGTGGACAATGCCCATATTCAGATTTGAAGCTGTGGTCCCTCAAGACGTTTTTTCTCTGCAGTATCCAGAAGAATGCGGATTGCATTTGCCATTGTAATATAAGAGAAAGATATGGAGCAGGATTGAAAGAGGTTGGTTCCTACTTGCTAAAGTTTGAGTTTTGCTCATTTTCTTTCACAGTTTGAGGATGTTTGTTTCTGATATGTCTGAGCCCTTAATTTGTATAGTCCAAGCTTTACTGACTGTATTTTGGTGAATTAAATAGGCAAACGAAGAAAGGGAAGAATGAACAGAATGGAGCACTGGGCAGATTTTGGTATTATTGAAGCTTCTTCCTTAGTATCAAAAGTTGATACAGAAAAGATTCTAACTTTTGTAGAAAAGGGTATTATTTGTTCTGGCTACATGCAGGGAAGAGAACCCTACTCAATTGTGTGTAGCTTTTATAGAGTATAGTAGGTAACATCAGATTTGATGAACTCAAGCAGAAAAATATAAGGTTCCAGACAGCATTATGACAAGTATGCACAGGAAATCTAGAAGTTTGTTCTAATCTGAGTTTATTGGTAAGAATTTTGGAGATTTTCGAAGATTTGACTAATCTGTTTTGTCCTGCTTCCCTGATCCCTGGTCACATAAGACAAAACAGGTTCAAGGATGTAATATGCATGTAAAGTATTGGGGGCAAAAAAATAGTGGGCAAAAAAGTAATGTGAAAACAGCATTGTTCCGGATTAAGAATTCAACCATGGAGGCCTAACCCCCTAACGTCAACAATGCCTAGGACCACTGCTCTCTGATGTGGCAAGCACTAACCCAACAATGAAGAGACCAAAAGCAAATTTATCAAACGTTAATAAACCAAAAACCCAATAGTGTTCAAAAACTAATTAACCATTAGTAACATTGCACCAGATGATATAAAACTCAGCACAAGTATTACTTTCTATTCATCTAATCTGCTTTCTATTGTTTTCACTTTCTACTTTTTTTGGTTGCAAAAGTGGTAATTTGGTTAACATCAACATAACACCTATTGCATAATGATTTGTGAAGCAAAAAGAAGATACATGATCCGGACTTGACTGCTTTAATTTGATCATATATATATGAAAGAACACGACATCAACTTAATGTTCTGTCATTCAACATCAACTTTCTGTCCAACATATAAGTAATGAACTATATACCAAACAAAAAGTTAGATAGATGGATTTACACAAATGAAGCAAACCAGCAAAACATTTCATTTTCAGTTGTGGCCTGTGGCCTGTGGCCTGTGGCCTGTGGCCTGTGGGGTTCTATTGCAGCCTTCCATGTTATTTTGTAATAGCTTTTTGTATCTGTCACTCGAAAATTTAAATGAATACTACCATACTATTTCTTTGAAGTCTTTGCATATACTACTTGGATCATTACTAGTCTACCTAATTAAATAAATGCAACAAAGTACACTATTTGTCAGGACATATGGTTGATTCATTCACCAGATTACCCCTCCAGTAAACCTGTGAATTTTTATCCTTTTTCGAGAAAAAAGGCACACATTTGTTTCCTTTGCTTCTAAAGTTTTAGATTATAAATTCCTTTTCATGCGCCGCTAGGTGTCACTACACCACTTAGCCAACTTCACTTCCAAAATTTCTTCTCCACCTGAATCTTTATAGTACTAGAAAACCCTAACCCTTGCCTAAATCCTGGAAACACTAAGCCAAATCTTTTTTCTAAAGCAATGGATTCCCTAAAGAAAAAAGGGAAGATGACTCCCATCTTTACCACTCCTAAAACCAGCAATATGGACAACATGGTCATGGACCAGACATGCAGCAATCCATGTTGTTTCTTTTGCATCATGAAAGAGCCAGACCAATCTCTCAGAAGAGCAGGAATAGCAAGCTGTTTCAAAGAAATGCCTCTCAATGGAGATGACCAAGAACATGTTTTGGTTCTGAGTGGTCTCTGGAACATTGCCATGACTCAACCAGATGACCCAGAGTTCCCTTCCCTTGGCATCTTTGATTGCATGGCAAGTTTCATAGAGAAAGGAGTCAATGACAGAAGCTGGCTTCTCAGAGATCAGAACATTTACATACCTTACTATGCTGCTCATGTCATCGGTTCTTACACTATGAACAAGGTTGAGTTTGCAGAGAAAGCTGTCCTTGCAGGTGTGATACCTCCATTAATGGAGCTTCTAAGGGGAAAGATAAGTTGGGTTGAGCAACGAGTTGCGGTCCGAGCCCTCGGTCACCTGGCAAGCTATGAGAGAACGTTTGAAGCATTAGCAACATATGAAGAGGAAGTGGTAAGGTTAGGAATGCACTTAGCTTCTACTTGCCTTAATGAAGTGTATGTTAAATTTGTAGGTGTTAAAGATAAGAGTAAGAGATCAACATATCACTGTGATTTGCTTACAAGAGGAGTTGGTGGTTCAGAAATGGAGAACAGAAAGGCTGAAGAATGGGCTAGCCAGCTTCAATGCTGGTCTCTTTATCTTCTCAATTGCTTTGCTTACAAGGAAAGATCTCTGAATCTTATTTGTAAGCAAGAGTTTTTGACAGATTTGTCTAAAATGTGGGGTGGATTAGTGAATCATTCATCACCAGCTGGAGTGGGACTGATAAGAATCTTGTGTTATAGTAAGTATGGAAGAAAAAACATCTCTGAATGTAAGGAAGTCTTAGAAAATCTATGTCATCTCTCGAGATCATCAGATGATTGGCAATACATGGGGATTGATTGTCTTCTATTGCTGCTCAAAGACCCAGATACGAGGTACAAGGTTATGGAAATTGCCACCATGTTTCTTATTGATTTGGTTGAACTCAAAAGCCTTGGAGACAGATCAGGGTTAGGTGAAACAATCACAAAAGCCCTCCTCTTAGATTATAAACAAAGCAAAATCAGAATCAAGAACACCCATGTTCAAAAGGCATTAAAGGAAACATGGGAGTTAAAGGTAGAAAGGCGAAAGAGAGAAAAGATGATTTCTGATGAAAAAGTTGAAGAAAGAAGAGTCCTAGCAAACCTGATAAAGCAACAAGCAAACCATTTGTTCTGGTTAGGAGATGTCGAAGCTGCTGTAAAAAGCTTCACGGAAGCATTAAATGCATGCCCTTTGAAGCATAGAAAAGATAGAATGATTCTCTATAGTAATAGAGCTCAGTGTTATTTGCTACTAAGAAACCCTGATGCTGCCATTAGAGACTCAACTCGAGCTCTTTGCCTCTCCAATCCTGCAAATTCTCATGGTAAGAGTTTGTGGAGAAGATCACAGGCTTATGACATGAAAGGGTTGGCTAAAGAGAGCTTGATGGACTGTATAATGTTCATCAATGGCTGCATCAACTCAGAGAAGAAGACTAACAAGCGTGTCAAGATTCCATACTATGCAGCTCGTATGATCAGCAAACAGATGGATGCCACATGGCTGTTTGCCAATGCTCAGTCCAAGGCCACAAGCAATGATCATCTGAGAAAAGTACAAGAATCAGACGATGATTATGAGATAAACAGCAATGAAGATCAAGATGATGATCAGTGTATTGATGAAATTATGAGGATGATGATGGAGAAGAAAAGTATAGCATCTGGTAAGCATTTACTTCTGATTATATCAGAAAATAGTACAAAAGTGACTGCAACTCAATCTTTTTGAAATTCAAATAGACATAGACATATAGTAATAGTTCGTACATATATATACACATGCAATTTCTGCAACATGGGGCATGCTTCAAAAGTGATAGAGTACCTTTTAGTTTTCTTGACTGTAATGTTTACGACTTTTTGCTTCTTCTGGTAACCTTTATTTCAGGTCTGTCAACCATAATTGAAGAACCTTTGATTGTAAAGGAAAGAAATTGGAGAAAGATGGAGAGGGCAAGAAGGAGAAACAAAATTGCTATGGCTCAATCTATGTAACATGTTCAAAGCAATGATGCCTTTGTTATAAGGGCATCTAATTTTCCTTGTATGGTTAATCTCAAATTTCCCAATGACATTTATTGATCATTATATATTTACTTTAAAGAAGATCATGAAAGTGGAATGCCAGTGGTGTTTTTTTGAATCTTTTATTTTTCTTTTCTTGATCAAAAGTAAAATAGGAAGGGTGGAGGAGGACCACTTGAGCACAATGTTGAGCAAAGATGAATTGAATGAAGAACAAAAACAAAATGAACCAAAGCAGATCAGAAAAGTCAACCTTTATGTGTGTTTGTGTATATATATATATTATAATCATCATGATGATCACTGATCAGTTCATCAACACTCAACTTTCTACTGTTTGTCATTTTCATGATGAGATGCATGCTAAGGCAGACAATTAGAGCTGAAGCCTAATAATCAAGCTATAATATAAGAAAACTTTTCATATATAATCCTGCCAGACACTTTTATCTCCTGCTCTAATACAAAATTCTTCAACTGCAATCAGAGAATTGGGTTTATTAAGATCATCATCTTTGGCTTTTCTTTACAATAGAAAAAAGTTTGAGCTTTCAAGTTTCGATCGACATTGGACCCAACTGGACAATTCCTACATATATACCATGCATTCTAAGAGATGATGCAAATATAAAATATTACATATTAAAAAAGTTAAAAACATATTCATATATCTTTAAAAAAAACTCATATTCGAATATATACAAATTGGGGTATAGTATATAATTATTAATGTATAATAATTAATATTATTATTATGCATGAATCATATTAAGGATGATCATATATATAGTGGAATGCAACTCATAACTAACTTTTAGGTATATATATACTAGTAGTAATTTACTAAGGTTTTCCAACTTTTTATAAACAAATCATTGTTATGCGCTTTAAGTTAGGCAGATTTGCACCTTACCTTAATATTAAATCTTGACTGCGGCCTGCGGCCTGCGGCCCCACTATCAGTCTATCAGCCATCGCCATGGAGCAAAAACTATATCCTATATACTATGTAGATAGTAGATATACTCTCTCTATTAATTATACGATTTTTCCTTTCATATTGAGGCTATGCCCATATAGTTCTGTTTGGCTGATTAGCTATATCACCATGGCTCTACTGCAAATTTTTGCTGATTTATGTCTATTGTATACTTTTTTTTTTCTCAGAACCATATCGGGACTCGAACCCTAGCTAAGGATGAAAGGCAAGCATCCAATCATCAGGAGGATGCTTTTGAGTTCTTCACTCTTAATTGAGTATTGCTAGCCAGGAAATTCTCAAAGGAAGCGGAGTATATTGAATTTTTTTGAGTAAATATAGAATGATTTTTATTAAATAAAGTATACAAAACAAATACTCCATATGCTGCACGTTAGCAATTCTCTCTGGGTGCATTTTAGCAGGTCTAAAATCCCAGAAAGTTTTGCTCGATTTCGCTTCAGCCTTTACCAAATTTTACCGTTTCTTTGTTTAATTCTTTGATTGTTCTCATCCCATTTCCTCTTTCTCGGCTTAAATTTTGTTTTTATGGCTTCGTTTCCGAGAATTAGTAGTGATTCAACCAAATTAGTTGAAACCAAACCAGTCTTAAACCCTAAACGCTTTTCTTCTTTATTTGATCCGCCTGATTTTTCTTTAGAGTTCATCACACCATCGAAAACAGAGGATAAGGTCAGAAGAGCTCCTGAAGACATCTATGAAGATGTAGCAAAGGAATGGAAAAATTGTCTAGTACTGCAATTTTTGGGGAAAGTCCCGAATCTCAGCCAGATTCACCGCATTCTAAACAATATTTGGGGGCGTGATGGGCAAGTACGAATCACTTCCACAGATTACGACTTGTTTATCATTCATCTTCCAACAGAAAGCACTCGACAGTGGATACTAGAGTCAGGTCCTTGGCATGTGATGAATCAGCCAGTGGTGGTACGTCAATGGGAGCCCGGAGTCACAAAGCTTGACATTGATCTCACCAAATTTCCAGTTTGGGTGAACTTGAAGGGGGTGCCGCTTGAGCTCTACACCAAAAGAGGCCTTAGCTTCATAGCCAGTGGTATAGGTATGCCCTTATACATGGATAAAGCTACTGCATATAAACAAAGTTTACACACCGCTAAAGTTTGTATTGAAGTTGATTTCTCTATTGATATACCTGATCATCTAGAAGTTGAGATGAAAAATGGATACGTAGTTAAAATTGGCATAGATATACCCTGGAAACCCCCTAAATGTCCAAAATGCAAAGTCTTTGGGCATTCAGATTGTTCTAAAAAGCACTCGGAGAAGATCTGGATGCCAAAAGAATCAAAATCTGTGCACATTGTAGATAACTCTGTCAATGAACCAGTTTTGCCTGTTGAGATACCTATTTTGCATTTAGATGAAACTATTGTTGAGTCTGAATTAGAATTTGAGCCAAATTTGCAGTCAAGTGCTCAATTTCCACCTCTCACAGTAGATAAGTCTGCAGACAAAGGGAAAATGGTGCAAGGCTCTTCTGCATCTGGTAATAGATTTGCTATCTTAGACACTGCGACAGTTGAAGTTACTGGAAGTAGTGTTAATACAACCATTGCTTCAGTTGAGAAAAGTCCCCCAAAAAAGAGAGCAGAAAGGGCAGCTTCAGCTTGTATTGGAGAAATAATGAAGCAAGTGAAGTCTAAAAAGAAGAATACTACTCCAAAACCTAGTATAAAAACAGTTAGAGCTAATTCTGGCTCGACTAGTTCTCACACCTCCCCTTAATGAATATAGCTGTTTGGAATGTAAGAGGCTTTAATGACCTCTCCAAACAAGCTGAAAAGGTGAAAAGAATAAGATCTCTTAATGCAGATATTGTGTGCTTGCTAGAGACTAGAGTCAAGTTCCCCAAATTTGATAAGATTGTAGATAAGCATTTTCAAGATTTCAATTGTTTGCATAACTATAGCCATGCTACAAATGGAAGAATCTGGGTTTTATGGAAATCTGATATTCAATTAGATCATGTCATCACTACAGAGCAGAGTATCACTGTTAAGGTTGTTTCCGCTCAACAATCTTTCTTTCTAACAGCTTCATATGGAGCTAACAAAGGTATCTCTAGGAGGAGGCTTTAGATGCATCTCAGGAGTTTGTATCAGGATATTGGTAATTCTTCATGGATCATTGCGGGGGATTTCAACTGCATTTGCAAATTAGAAGAGAGTTCTGATTTTTCAGGTATTACCTCTGATATTGTTGAGTTTAATGAATGCTTGAATGACATATCTGTTTTTGATCATTCTTACACTGGCCCTATATTCACTTGGTATAATAACAATGATGAGCACCCTTTATCACGGAAACTAGATAGAGTTTTAATTAATGCTGAGTGGCTGCAATGTTTTGCTGACTCTATGGTTGAATTCATGTTGCCTGATGTTTCTGACCATTGTCTTATGTTTATAAGAACTGATGTGAAGTTTTTCTCTCCTCCAAAGCCTTTTAAGTTCTTCAATTACTGGACCAAACACGCTGAATTTTTACAACTTATAAATGATGTTTGGAGTGGAAATGTAACTGGGAATCGAATGCAAAGATTAAGTAAAAAGTTTAAGTCTCTTAAATCAGTTTTAAAGGAATTCAACAGAAAACATTTTGGTAATCTACCACAGAAGGTAGTTGAGAAAAAGGCTGAGATTGCTACACTTCAGAAGGGTATTCTCGTATCCCCTGCTGCAGACTTAATTCAAAGACACAAAATTGCTACAAATGAACTTCATGAGCTGCAATTAGCAGAAGAAAGCTTTTATAAGCAGAAATCTAGAGTACAATGGTTGCAAGAAGGAGATTTAAACACAGGGTTTTTTCATAAGACTATGAAGATCAGGAATAAAAGGAACGATATTAGACTGTTATATAAAGAGAATGGGGACAGACTTCACACTTATGCAGAAATTCGAGATGAAGCTGTCAACTATTATCAGAATTTTCTTGGCAAAAAGGATGACAATATCTCTAGTTGCCCTGCAGATCTTCTACAGGACATTCTTCAAAATTCTATCTCAGAGGAGTTGGCTAGAAAAATCATAGAACCTGTTACTGAGGAGGAGATTAGAGCTACTTTTTTCAGTCTCAATAGCAACAAAGCTTCTAGTCCAGATGGTTACTCAGCACATTTCTTCAAGGCAGCATGGAGTATTGTGGGTAAAGATGTGATTACTGCTATTCTTTATTTCTTTGAATCTTCTAGAATTTCTCCTGGTATTAATTCTACCGTAATTGCTTTGGTTCCAAAAGTTGATAACCCTAGTCATATGACTGATTTTAGACCTATATCCTGTTGCACTATGATCTATAAGTGCATTGCTAAAATTTTAGCTAATAGACTTAAACAATGTCTCCCTGGGTTAATTTCTATAAAACAAAGTGCTTTCATTGAGGGGAGGAGTATAATAGACAATGTTCTTATGGCTCAAGAGCTTGTGAGTAGATATAATAAATCTCAATTATCTCCTAGATGTGCTATTAAGATAGACCTTCGAAAAGCTTTTGATACTCTTGATTGGGGTTTTATTTTGAATATATTTAAGGCTTTAAATTTCCCTAAACAGTTTGTGAATTGGATTTCTACTTGTATCACTACTACTAGATTCTCTGTCTCCATTAATGGTGGTTTAGAGGGTTATTTTACAGGAGCAAGGGGAGTAAGGCAGGGAGACCCTCTCTCCCCTTATATTTTTGTTATGGCTATGAATACCTTGTCTAAGCTGCTGGATTATGGAGTAGATCATGGTGTTTTTGGTTTCCACCCAAAGTGTAAAAAGGTGAATCTGACTCACCTTTGTTTTGCCGATGATCTACTCATTTTTGCTAAAGGTAATCTTTAGTCTATTTTGGGCATTAAGAATATTCTTGATCTGTTCTATCAGTATTCAGGCTTTTGTATGAATTGTTCAAAGAGTGAAATATTCTATACTGGTATATACGATGAGTGTATGGTAGAAATTCAGGTAGAAACTGGTTTTAAAGTTGGGGATTTACCAGTCAGGTATTTGGGGGTCCCTTTAATATCAAAAAGATTGAATGCGAGAGACTGTGCTCCTTTAGTAGATAAGATTACACAGAGAATTCGATCTTGGTCTGCTAAGAATATCTCATATGCCGGGAGATGCCAACTAATTATTGGATGACAAATTATTGGTGTATGAATTTTGTACTTCCTCAGGCAGTTGTGGATAAAGTTTGTCAGCTTTGTGCAAGCTATTTATGGAAAGGGAAGGAAGGTAATAGTCGAGGAGCAAAGGTCAGCTGGGAGTTTTTTGTCATCCAAAATCCGAAGGGGGCCTTGGGTTTAAAGATCTTTCTATATGGAACAGAGCTTGCATCATCCGCAACATATGGCTGTTTTTTGCTCAATCAGGATCAATTTGGGTATCTTGGATCTCAACTTACATCTTGAAAGGGAGGGATATTATGCACATTCCCTCTTTGCCAAGATATAGTTGGGCCTTTAAGAGGTTACTAAGTTTGAGACTTTTGGTGAATATTCTACAAAATGATGATTTATGGCATTTTCCAGGAAATAAGTTCAAAGTATCCATGGTATATGAAGGTCTAAGACATAGGCAAAGCAAAGCAGATTGGCAGAAACTTATTTGGTTTCCACTTCATATTCCAAAGTGCTCGTTCATCTCTTGGTTGGTGATTTTGAATAGATTGCCTACCCGGGAGAGACTTGCACAATGGGGCTTGAAATTGGATTCTACAGCTTGTTTACTTTGTGGTCAACAAACTGAAAACAGAGATCATCTTTGTTTTACTTGTTCGTTTTCTAGATCTGTTTGGCAGCAAGTTCTCTCTACATGTGGGTTCACTCGACAGGCGGGAGACTGGAATGAAGAATTTGATTGGGCAGTTAAGGGCTTTAAGGGTAAATCTCTTCTTACTACTATTCTAAAACTAGCCTGGACAACTTTTTGTTATTATGTTTGGTTGGAAAGGAATGCTAGGTTATATGGCAAGTCACATAGTTCCGTTGAGACTGTATTTGGCCACATTAGAGATACCATTAGATTTAAACTTCATGGTTTATCTAAGGTTAAATATGATGTGGTTAATAGGAACTTATGTAATAGGTGGAGCCTTGTTATTCCTGATCTATGTTCTTAGATCTTAGTTCATTTGTTGCTTCTTCGGGATAATAAATTGACTAATTATCCAAAAAAAAAAAAAATCTCCGTATGCTTAGGGCTATGGCTATTTGGTTTTACTTTGATTTGTTCCTCATGAAGCTTGAAAAAAAAAAAATCTTATGATACGATTCATGAAGCTTGAAAAAAGAAAAAAAACTTATGATAGGATTTATGCTTAGGATTATGACTATTTATAATATGCAACAATTTGACCCTTCTCCCTTTTTTTTAGAATAGAAGAATAATTTTTATCCTATTTATATGAGAATTCAACTTTGTAATTGGGAAAAAAAAAGTATGATTTTTTTAACCTATTAACTATTAAGTATTGAATTTGGGTCTTAAAAAATTACTTTTGTTTTATCTACTAAAATTTAAATTGGGCTAAAATAAGTTACTACTTTTATATAAACAAGAACACACGGCCCATAACTTTTATCTAAACTATATAAAAGGAATGTTAAAATTTAGTGGAGGCAAGGGGGCACGTTTTAATTTTTTGGGGGGTCAAGGTGTAACAATTTCAACCTCTGTTTGAGGTTTACAGGATTTTAGGGGGGTGATGGCCCCTGCCTGCCCCCATATAAATCTGTCCCTGCAACTTGTCCCTCCAATTTGTCCCACCTGACGTGTCATCAGAATACTTACCATAATTTCTGAAACTCTATTCAATAATAGCCTAAAATTAAGGGATTTACCCCAAACTCTCCATTTTTATAACTAGGGGCTAAACCTGGATTTAATTTCTTACCTTAATAATTAGGGGGGCTTAACCTGGATTTAAGTTATTTTCTTAATTATTAGGAGGGTCAAGTTGGAGGGACAAATTGGAGGGTCAAAAAGAATTATCCCTCTTAATTCGGTCCTGCTAGGGTTGTACGGATCTTCGAATTTAAGGTATCGGCCTCCACCGCTCAAAATTATGAATTTTGTTAGGCCGAAAATAGTGGAAGTGGTTTTTCGGCCCTATGGAAGTGTTTAATAATTTTTTTTAAGCAAACAAATCTTTCATTGATAAAGAATATCTGGATTACAAACGGGCAGAGAATCTCCGCTCTAAACATGATTGAAACCAATCGCATAATCAATGTGAGCTAGTTCATGTGCAAACCTATTAGCTAAATGATGAACATAACTAAACTTACACACATAAAACAATTCACTCAACTCCTTTATCTGGTTAACCAACACTCCTCCCTCCCACAACGATGGCTCTGCCTTATTAATTTCCAAAATGGCTAAACTAGAATCACTTTCAACCTCACATTTAAATAGTCTGAATGATGGAGCCAGGATTAAGCCAAACCTCAAAGCATACACTTCTGCAAATAACACATCTGGTACATGATTTATCCTAGTTGTTGCACCAAAGATTACATGTCCAAACTCATCTCTAATTACCACCCCCAAACCAGCTTCTTTCCGAGAAGCATTGAAGGCAACATCAGTATTTATCTTAACAACATTCTGCATCGGAGATTTCCATCTAGGTGGCATACGCACAGGTCTATCAATTCCTTTATTTCTGTTCATGGATTGTTCATATTCAGACACAAATCGAGCAGCTGAAGTAGCCAATGAAGCCGGCCTCCTGCATTTATGGCCATGCAATGTCGTATTCATATTTGCCCAAATCAACCATAATACAAAGCAAATCACTTCTAATTGCCCCATTTCCTGAGCCTTTGCCAAGCAGCAAGCCCAAAATTCCATGCTATTTTCCCAGTCACTAAGATAAGTTTGGATCCATGGACAAGAGAACTCCCACACTCGACTACTAAAGGGATAAGCAAAAAACACATGAAGTAGAGATGATTCAGTACCACCACATACCTCACACGTATTTATAACATTGACACCCCTTTGTAGCAGCATAGATTTCGAAGGCAGTATACCCAAAAGCAGCCGCCACATGAAGTACTTTACTTTGGGAAATACCAAAGCTCCTCATATCAACTTCCATTTAGCAGACCTATCCTCTACATTGAACACCGCTTCCCTAGTAGTACTCTAGCTACATGATAGCCACTTCTAACCGAGTAGTACCCATTTCTTGTATGGTTCCATATCAGAACATCTTGTCCAACCGATTGTTGCAATGGAATATTCAGCTTACGCTCCACATCATCATCCACGAATAGCTCACAAATCAAGTCCACCTCCCATCGTCCTTGGTCATCAAACAAGGCCGAAACTGGATTATCTTGACATATTGTCCCTGGTCGAGCCTAAGGTCGAAAGTAAAAATGGTTACTTAACCATTTATCCCGCCACAAATTGATAGATTTTCCATCGCCAATTCTCCAAATACACGGCGCACGAAGCACCTCTCTACCTGCCATCAAGCTACGCCAAACAAAGAGGGATTGGATCACAAAGTAGCTTGCATAAAATACTCATTTCGAAAATATTTTGCTTTAAAAATATGATAATAGAGAGACTCCTTATTTCGAATTAATTGCCAACACTGCTTGGCCATTAAAGCCAAATTAAAAGCTTCAAAATCTCGAAAGCCTAATCCCCATCTAATTTAGATACATGCAAAGAATCTCAATCCTTCCAATGAATTTTCCTATTAGTTTCCGTACTTCTGCACCAAAATTTTGCAATAATTGAATTTAACTATTGTAGAAAGGTCTTAGGGAATTTAAAACAACTCATTAAATAAGTCAGGATAGCCTGAGTCGCAACCTGTATCATAACAGCTTTCCCTGCAATGGAAAATAACCGACCTCTCCACCCTTGAATACGCTTCCATAATCTATCTTTCAGCATTTGTAATTCAATCTCCCTGTTCTTCCATATCATGATCGGTATACCCAAGTATTTATCTCGAACCAAAACCTTTTGTACTCCAAGCCTTCGCATAATCAAGTCTTTAATACAATCAGGTGTGTTACTGCTAAATAAAAATGTTGACTTATCTACATTGATCTTTTGACCAGAAGCCAATTCAAACTGATGGAGCAAATTCAAAATAATATCACATTCATCCCAATTGGCTTGCACAAATAAGAGACTATCATCTGCGAACAATAAATGTGACATTCTTGGTGCAGCTCTCGCAATGAAAACACCTTGAATGGCATAGGTTCTTTTGGCTTGTTGGAGCAAACACAAAAACTCCTCCATACAAAGAAGAAACAGATAAGGTGACAATGGATCCCCTTGACGAATACCCCTACTCGGAACTATTGTACTTGCTTGAGTTCCATTAGTATTAACTGAATAAGTCACTGTTCGCACACATTTAATTACCAAAGATATCCATCTCATGGAAAACCCCATTCTTCACATAATTCCTTCAAGAAAAGACCACTCAACATGGTCATAAGCTTTACTCAAATTAAGCTTCAATGCCATATGTCGTTTCCCTCCCTGTCTCTTATTCTTAGGGATGCAACCAGGTAGGGTACCCGCAAATTTTGAGGTACCCGTACCCTAACCCTATTATTTTCTAGGATACCCGTACCCTATAACTACCCGGTTATTTTTTAAAATCACTACCCGTACCCTACCCGTATAAAATATCAAATACCGGTTAACTACCCTAACCCGATAAAAAACTCGAATATTTTTTTCTTTATAATTAAATAATAATAAATTAATTAAAATTAAATGAATAAATTAAAATTAACTTGTATAATTGTAGAGCAAAGTTAAAAATTATATTTTTAACCATAAATAAATTTTAATTAGGTTAATTAGGAGTAATTTTTAAGTAAAAATATAATATATAAATAAAAATTTAATATTAAAATAATTAATTAGTAACCGGGTTCGGGTAGTGGGTACCCTAAGGTCACTACTCGAACCCGTCATGGGTACTAAAATCACTACCCGTACCCTACCCTAACCCTATTATACAATACCCTAACCCTACTTAATCGGGTCGGGTAGTGCCGGCTACCCTATTATCCGCTACCCACTTGCATCCCTACTTATTCTTCACATAGTGAACAGTTTCAAAAGCAATCATGGAACTGTAAAAAATTTGCCTCCCCGGAACAAAGGCACTCTGATTAGGACCAATAATTTGAGGTAATAGCACCTTCAACCTATTTGCCAAAACCTTAGAAATAATTTAAAGATGACATTACACAAGCTAATTGGTCGAAAACCCCTAACAAAAGACGGATCTTCACACTTACGGATCAAAACAATGTTTATATGGTTAATATCTGGTAAAGGAGACCCCTGATTAAGAAATGATAAAATTGAATCACATACTTTATCTTTCACAATACTCCAAAACTTCTGATAAAAAAACGGAGTCATTCCATCAGGGTCAGGAGCCTTATCCGGGCCCATTTGAAATACTGCTGCCTTAACCTTCTCTTCATCAAAATCTCTATTCAAATGATCATTCATCACTGATGTCACCCTTGAATCCATTAGACAAAGCACCAAATCTAAATCCATACTAGATGGATTAGAGGAATTAAAAATGTCCCGAAAATAACTAGTCAAAACTGCTTCAATAGCCGCTACCTCCACTACCTGCACCCTATTCTCATCATGAACATAGGAAATATCATTTTGTCTTTGCTTGACAGTAGCAGCAGCATGAAAAGTCTTCGAGTTTCGATCCCCCTCCCGTAACCAACTAATTTTCGCCCTTTGCCTCCATATTACCTCCTCCCTATCATAAAGTCCATTTAGATCATCTAAGCACCTCTGTAACTCTAATGAGTCAGCTCCCATTTGCACCTCTTTATACAACTTCTTTAAATCTCTTTTCCTCTTCCTTATACTATGTTTTACATTATCAAACACATTATAATCCCAATGTTGCAAACTATTAGCACAATTAAAAATTGTACTCTTAATATCTAGGCTACAATCCTGATTCCAAGCCTCACTAATAACAGAATGGATATTTTCATGTAATGCCAGCATGTTTTCAAACCTAAACCGCTTACGGACTTGAACATCCATCAAAGGCTGATCTATGCAATGAATAAAAAGAGGCAAATG